AGTATAATAAAACGTATACAGATATAATAGTAGAGTATAACAATTAAAGAAAGAAACAAGAGGAAGTTTCATTTGTGTATGTACAAATATCATCTCATAGTTTTTTACTATAAAAGATGATAAAATAAATCAAATATTATTAAATGGTTTAAATATCTTATTAGTGTAATTTATTATTTTTTTATTAAAAATCTATAACAATGAGTCATACACTGTGATATGTCTCTTGACTCATATTAATATTTCTAAATTATAGAGATATTCTATAGATCTAAGATTGATTTGTATGTAGCTAAACAATAAAAAATGACAAATTTATAACTGACATTTAATGTAAAATATAAATATCAAAACAAAAGAAATACACATGAATGAATTTTATTCTTCGTTGAATATCATTAGTAAATTACTTTATAAGCATTATGTCTATTGATGACTATGAAAGTAATTGTTAAATTTTCATTATTTAAGATCTTTTTCTTTGTATTTTTTCTTTAAAATTTAAACACAATACTTTTTTTCTTGCTGATGAATATACAAAAATCCCTATACATTTACTTTCTTAACAATTAAAATCGATTGGTAAGATTTGTAACAATTATACTTATGTAAATATCATTTTTTACCAATAAGTCTGTTTTGATAAGCTAAAACCATGCGATCTATAGTAAAAATAACGAACAATACATCCAGCGACATCATTAAATTGTGATACGTGACTTATTTTGTTCACGTTTTTTTTATTCGAATTTACATAGAAACCGATTGCTTTAACTAATGACCTATCAGGTAAAGTTGAATTTCAAACAAAGAAAGGGTCTGTCCTAGGCAACGTATCTCACTTCGTCCCGTCGCCCCTTATTCATCGTAGTTATAACATTTCTTCAAAAATTCAATTCCAATGGATGTGGTAAGAATACATTTAAAAATCTGATTATGAACAAAGTGCCTGTTTTTTTCTATAGCCATCGACAACCCAAGTACAACAAGTTCGTGAAATCACACGTATTGAACGAACTGGTATATATCATCTATAGATTATTAATTATATTTTTACGATATTTCTTTGTTTCTTTTTAAAGGTGCACATTCACATATTCGCGGTCTTGGTCTTAATGACAGTCTCGAAGCACGTGCTGTTAGCCAAGGTATGGTCGGTCAAATTAAAGCTCGTCGAGCAGCTGGTTTAATTCTTGAAATGATCAAAGAAGGCAAAATCGCTGGACGAGCTTTACTTATTGCTGGACAACCTGGCACCGGCAAAACTGCTATTGCTATGGGTAAATTATAATCGACAAATAATTGATAGTTTCTATATAGACTTATTTATTTTTAGGTATTGCACAAGCATTAGGATCTGATACACCATTTACAGCGATGTCAGGTAGTGAAATATTTTCACTTGAAATGAGTAAAACAGAAGCATTAACTCAAGCATTTCGTCGATCGATTGGTGTTCGAATTAAGTAAATAAATAATTACTATAGATTGATAAAAAAACTTTTTTTTTTAAAAATATTTATTTATTAGAGAAGAAGCTGAATTCATTGAAGGTGAAGTTGTTGAAATTCAAATTGATCGACCTGCAACAGGAACGGTATAATCTAAATCTCTCTAATTAATATTTTTATATAAAATATGTATATTTCAGGGTGCAAAAATCGGTAAAATGACATTAAAAACAACTGAAATGGAAACAATATATGATCTTGGTCAAAAAATGATTGAAGCTTTAACAAAAGAAAAAGTTCAAGCTGGGTATGAACTATTTTTCTTTCTCTTCTATTATTTTATTTCAATTTTTGCTTTTCTTCTCATCAGAGATGTTATTGCAATTGATAAAGCAAGTGGAAAAATTTCTCGTCTTGGACGATCATTTACTCGAGCAAAAGATTATGATGCTATGGGACCACAAGTATGATCATCTTAGCATTTTTCATATGAAATGAATTTATTTCATTTCTAGACGAAATTTGTTCAATGTCCTGAAGGTGAATTACAAAAACGTAAAGAAGTCGTACACACAGTAACATTACATGAAATTGATGTTATTAATAGTCGTTCACAAGGTTTTCTTGCATTATTTTCTGGTGATACAGGTGAAATTAAATCTGAAGTACGCGAACAAATTAATGATAAAGTTGCTGAATGGCGTGAAGAAGGAAAATCCGAAATTGTACCAGGAGTTTTATTTATTGATGAAGTTCATATGTTAGATATTGAATGTTTTTCATTTTTAAATCGAGCATTAGAAAGTGATATGGCACCAATTTTAATTATGGCAACAAATAGAGGAATAACAAAGTAAAATATACAAAAATAAATATATATATTTGTAAAAATAAATGATCGTTTTTTTAGAATTCGTGGTACTAATCAACAAAGTCCACATGGTATTCCTATTGATTTACTTGATCGTCTTTTGATTATAACAACAAAACCTTATGAAATTGATGAAATTAAACAAATTCTTAAAATACGGTATATAAATCATTTACTAAAAAACAAAACCGCAATGCTTTTTGTTCTTTAGTTGTGAAGAAGAAGATGTAGAAATGTCCGATGATGCACTTAATGTATTAACAAAAATTGGTAAAGAAACATCTTTACGTTATTCAATTCAATTAATAACACTTTCAAGCATTATTTGTCGAAATCGAAAAGTAATATTTAACTTTTAAGAAAAACATTTCTTCTATAATAATTTTATTTAATCAAGGCTGGTGAAGTTACTGTTGATGACGTTAAACGTGTCTATGAAGTGTTTCTTGATGAAGCTCGTTCAAGTGATAATCTTCGTGAATATGAACAGTATTTTATGTTCAATGATCTTACGTGTATGTATTTCTATAACATGAATAATAAATCATTGTTTATCTTCTAATATTATTTCCTTTGCTTTTAGCTGAACAACCAGGAACAGAAGCATCAATGGAAACTTAATCCTTCAATTATTCTTGTTAAATGTATCTTCCTTTTGTTGTTATTGTTACTGTTATTATTCTTGTTATTTGTATGTGTAGAATTTCACGATCATAAAGTGTTTGTAATACATCATTCAAATAACTACTAGTAAAAAGAAATTGATAAAAAATATAATTTCATCTTAATTGATATATATATATATAGACTTTCAATATATATATGATTTGTATATTTTTTCTATAGAATTGTTTGTTTATCTCTACTCGATAATGAATAACTACTGATCAATCTATATGATTTACAAGATTTTTTTTTCTTCTTAGAATAACGTGTCTATACTATTAATATAATCGATCGACGAGTTTTTTTTTTCTTCTTCTTTCTTTCGGGCTTTGGATATGTTTAGCCATCATAAAATTCCATATAGAATAAACGAAGAAAACTGAATTATCTTGACGATTTTGTTAAAAGCAATATTCTGAACATGTCTATCAACAATTACAATTTGTTGTCTCTTTGGTCTTCTGTTTTTTATCGAATCATGAAATAGAAAAAAATCCTTATCGATCAAACGCATCCGAAGATTTCAAATGATACGTCATTCGTCATTAGATATTCAGATATCTTTTTAAAATGATCGATCGTACACTTTGATGTTTTGTGACATACACTCATTTATATACTTTTTGTTCGTGACAGTAGCTTCAGCTGTGCCTTATTCTATTCTGTAGACAGTTAATTTACATGTTATTCAATGAATTTTATTCTTTTTTTTTTTTTTTGTTATTCATATGCAGAAAAAAATATCATTAATAATAGTTATAATAGAAGTGACTATATGACATTTTGTATTCGATTGGAAATAATAACGAAGGAATAAAGACTATTATGAGAAATAGATAACCTAATTTTTTGCTCTTTAGAAGATGTTTATCAGAGTAGTATACAGATTCATAAAAACCTATCAACCCCAATGGGCATAATCGCTCTTAATCGAGTTGATCTTTCTAATTATTTTTCTTTTTCAATAGGTCGTCATCGAAATACATAATGCCTGCTATTACTTTAAGTAGAGACTAAAGAAAAGAAGAAATGACCTTAATATTTCGTTTTTTTTTCTTATTTGGCTTGTCAATATTGACTTGAGCCAACGATACTTTTCATCTATAACCGGTAGAATCGATAAAAAACAAGTAGTTACAAATTCAATTTTATACTAATCATTAGCTATTTTATTCATGTGTATTGAATGAGCAATAATAGTCTTTATTATATATGATAATAACATGTACGACTATGAAATATCGTTATGAATTTAATTCTGTTATTATCATCGAAGCAATGATAAAGGTAATCATTCGAATTCTCTAAGGGAGTATACGAATAGTCTCATTCATTGATTACAAAATTGAGGTATAGTTGTTAGATATGATATTTCTTTTGTGACAGACGACAATCAACTATGGAATGATTAATAACATATGCGAAATGAACAATTTAGTATTTATTAAAATTTTTCACATTTTCTGAAACCAACAATCAGTAAATGCCTTTTGGCAATATTTTATTTTCCTTTCATCATTGATTCAATTGCCTTGTTTTTTTGTCCGACATAATAGTATGACGTAGTGAAAGTATAACATTTCTATTTTTTCTATATTATTCTTTTTTAATACATTGATAAATATCGTAAGAATGTTTATTTATTATTAAGTTCTCGAGTAATAAATCATGAATTATTATAAAAAAAAGTTTTTAATTGACCTCAAAAAATTCTAATAAGTACTTTTGTGTTAAACAATAATTTTTTTTTGAACTTTTAACGTCTTTTTTTTTAATATTTAAAAAGAGAACGTTTAGTGATCAAATAGAATAAAATGTGCTTTTTGACGATAGAAAAAGAACTATTTTTTTTTCACGGTAGTCATACCTATTGTAGAAAAGGCTAATATTTACTTTTGTACCCAACTGCAACTCCCTCAAAGACATCTGTCACATTCTCTCTAGGACAAAAAAATAACTTTGAACATAAAAAATTCTTCATTTATTTTAGTCGATCATCATTTGATAAAATAATGTCTGATGAAAATATTAACTCCAATAATATTCATTCTCGTTCAATACTACGTCAAGTACGTGACACATTTGGTAGTATGGGTCGTAATCTACAAATAAAAACAAGAACGCAATCTCCACCATTTACATTAGTCAATAATAAACATACATCAGTTGATAATATAGATTTACAAAATTCTCATATAAAAATTCATACAAAAAAATCAACGCCAATATCATTCTCACATCATCTATCATTATTTAATCAAGTTAAATCACGTGTTAATAAAAATCGAAAACATCAAAATGCACAATCATTATCCGATAATGACGATGATATACGTTCATCATTGCCAGTAATCATTTCATCTCCAGTAAGTTCATTTTATCAATCTTTTTTTTTATTGCGCAGAATATTATTTAGTAGGTATATACATATTAAAAAAAATCTTTTGTCAACAGCTGTCGTACTCGTTTTTTTTTTATTATAAAAACCTTAAAGAATAATAACAAAAATTTAAATTGTAAATGACTCGTCAGAGAATATTTGATAAAGAATTAGATGTTTCTTGATGACTGTTATGTAAAGTTTAAATTATCTAATATATGTAATTATTCTTGCTTTCTATTTGTCAATAGTCTAGTATGAAAAATCATAAGTTGTATAACAGATTAGATTGAATTGAATTAGCGGGGTTTCTAAGATAATTACATTTTGATAAAAAAACAAGTTGAAGTTTTCTTTCCGTTACTGTCTTTGCCTTTGATATTTTAAAATATTAGACAAGTTCTATCATGAATTGAGAACATATTTTGTTTTTTTTATAAAAATCAATTCGTAATTCATACAGTTGATCATATTTTTGAGACATAGAAAAAATTATCCTTGTCAAAGTATGTACGATGGGTTATATCATATTGATGAGATGCCTTTTCATTATCCTACTCACGTTTTTTGGTTCGTATATCTATATGTATATTATCGAATCATTTGTTTGTATTTATGTAATCATTTCATCTACTCTCTTATCTCCATCTTATACATATTTGATCTATCATTCTTTTTTTGTATCTGATATGTACTCTAAGTAGTAATGTAATTCGCTTCTTTACTTTGTTCATTAAATATAATGAATGTCGACAGAGTATTATTGCAATCGATCCTATTAACAAAAATCCTTTTATAATTAACAGTTTATTCGAATAAAAAAGAGAAAAAAAATTATCATAACATGGTAGATAGTTAATTAAATAAGATTAGCAACTTATTTGACGCACATACTTTAGTTAATATGTTACCTTGCAAAATAATCGTTGATGATAAACACACTAAGTTTGATTCAGAATAGTTGAAGAACTGTCACCACGTGTGCTTGTCAAAAACAGCAACGATCTTGTAATATAATTTGACATTTGACGCCAACAATAACAGTAGACAAACTAATTTTAGTTGATTGTATTTTAAAATTCATCAGATGTCATTATCAAAGACGTGCGTCATAATCTGGCACCATCACGTGCAACATGCCTCACTCGTTAATTGAAACTATTAAATAACATACAATCAATATGTGAAGTTTCGATTCATTGATTCGAAAGAATTTGATACATTTTCTTTTTTCATTATATAGTGATGCACTTGACATCACAAGATTTCTCGAAAAACGCTCATATCTCGATGAAAGGAAATGCTATAGATCGTAGTTTTATATCTTCTTTCTTTATTAATCTTGTGATCATTTTCTTTTACATCTGTTCTATGTCTGAACGCTATGCTTGATTACCTTTCTACTATCTCTTATATTGAATATATGAACAAACTAAACAAAGCGAATAATCATCATCCTATAGTCACTTTTTTCTTTACATTCTGATAGATCAGTCTCATTTTTCCACTGAATAACATTTGCAAATTTTTATCAATAATAAGGTAATATTCTATTTGATTAAATTAATATATCATTATCAATGATAATGAAGATAAAATAAAACTTTTCGTATACATTTACTTGATTATTTTGTTATAATAAGAAATAGATAAAAACAGTGTATTAAGTCAAATCTTTATCGTACCTATTATATACTTAGATAGATGAAATTATTTTCGAACGATGTTATTTTTGTGCGTGTTCTTTTGTCCTAAGTCGGATGTAATTCCGGAAGAATGTTCCTGATCGTAAGCTATTAAGAAATTCAATAACTAAATAGTAAGACATGTCATTAGTTAGATTAAAAGTATATAGATTCATTGTTGTGATGTGCTTAGAATAATTTTTATAGAGAGAAAGACATCTCAAATGTTAATCGTTAAAGCATTAGCTGTTAATGAGATGCAATAGTATACATTTTGTTATGTATTGACATATATATATATCTTCATTTACTCGTAAGCGAAAGTGACATGGTTCTATCAAGAATAAAATAGTTGAATAGGAAAGAATCTATGAGACGGCAAGAGAAAATAAGCATTTATTCTTTTTCCCTTCTACAAGCGTTCTCTCTCATATTTTTCTTGCTCGATGTTGTCTCAAACACTCGATCAAGAGAAGTTTTTTTTTTTGTTGTTGTTAATCATCTGTTGCATTTCGACATCCGCCTAACTTGCTCTTGTAATAGTCTTACACTTGGGGAAAATACAGAAAAAAAGAAATTCAAAAGAAAAAGAAAATACTACACATAACCAATGTCTAATCGAATGATGTTCGTGTATTTTGTAAAATATTGAATTTATCTACAAATGAATCTTCCTTCTACGTACAACAAAAATGCAATTATGAGATATTTCTGTGCTTGTCTTAAGGTGATATGACGTTTTTTTTCTTTTATTTACAAAAAAAAACTAAATTGAATTTTTGTTAAATTGAAATGTTTTATTTAACAGGAATCGAAATCAACAATTTCATTTGATGTTAATCAAAATTCTAATTTAAATGCAATTAATTTATTACCATCTGAATCTCTTATTAATACAAATATTCCAGATGATGAGGATGATGATCCTTTGAAAATCGAACAAAATTTTGCTGACGTATTAAATTCTGATGATGAAGTTCCAGAGTTATCTCAACAATCCAATGAAGTAAATCGTTCTGGTCGAATGAATATTAATAAAATAACTCAACGTGCACGAACAGTCTTAAATAAATCTCCTTCATTAACTTCAATTGCAACTAATATATCATTACCAAATAATAATCTTGAAATTGTTTATTTTATTGAACTTTATATTGAACATGGAAAAGATTTATCTATTAAAGATTTCAATGGTACGAGTGATCCTTATGTTAAAGTTTATTATGGTACAGAAGAAAAATATGTTACTAATACAATCTATAAAAATTTAAATCCAATATGGAATGAAAAAGTTTCATTCTTTGTACATGATTTAAGTGTACCAATTAATTTTTATGTGTTTGATTATGATCGTATTGGACGTGATGAAGCAATGGGTTCGACAAAAATCGATCTATGGAAATTACCATTTGATCAAGATTATAATGCAATACTTGATTTACAAAATGAAAAACGAACTGATGGAAAAATAGGTTCACTTATAATCAGTATAAATATTACACAAAGAACAACAGAATTTCGAGATGAAGTAAAAAAGATATATTTTGTACTATTCTATATATATATTTATATAGGTAATGCGTACATTGTCAAAAACATCAAATGGAAAAGCATCTTTAACTAGTCGTTTAGGAAGAAATAATTCAGTTGTATTAACACGACGTACTATTGATGTGTTTATAATTGAAGGAAGAAATTTAACAACAGCTGGTAATGCTAATAAACTTTTTAATCCATATATTCGTCTTAAATTTGGAACAAATAAAAAAAATCGAACACAAGTATTATTAAAAATCGCATGTTTTTTTTTTATCTAATAAGAATGTTGTTATCTTAGACAATCAAATCAACTGTCAATCCAAAATGGCATCAATCATTTATATATGATATTATGATTAATGAACTTCCACCATTAGAATTAACTGTTTTTGATGATACAAGTAGTTCGGGTGATTTTATTGGAAGGTAAAAACAGAAGATATAATAATATATATGATTTAATCTTTTTTCATTATTTTAATTTAGAGGTATTTGTAATTTGGCTCACTTGGATGAAGAAAAAACTCATCGAATATCAGTTGAACTTGAAAATAATACTGGTATTATTGATTTATTTGTAACTATAACTGGTATAGCACCAATACAAGAATTAATAAACGATGGTGAAACTTCTTCGAATGGTTCAATTGATGTTATACAATCGAAAATAACAGATGAAGAAATTGAATATTATGTTTGTATAAAAGAATTTTTATTAATTTTATAATTATGAATCATTTAAATAGAGTTTCTTTTCGACATTACGATCAATCCTACCAATACTTGATGTTGGAAAAGTTGAAATTAAAAGTAAAAAATTTATTTTGCTTGTTAACAATAGAAAAACTATTTTTGTTTAGTTTATCAAGCACGAGATTTAAGTGCTAAAGATATCAATGGTAAATCAGATCCATTTTGTGTTGTTGAACTGGATTCAACTCGTTTACGTACACATACAATTTATAAAACACTTGATCCTGTTTGGAATAAATCATTTATTATCCCTGTGCAAGACATACATTCCGTGCTTGAATTAACTATTTATGATGAAGATATGAATAAAACAACGGAATTCATTGGAAAAATAGCTATTCCATTACTAGCAGTAAGGAAAAGAATTTATTTAATATATATTTTTTTCTCTCTTCTATAAAGATTCAAAATGGAGAAAAGAAATGGATGACATTGAAAGATCGAAAATGTTGTTTACCTGTGAAAGGTATTATTGAAATTGAAGCAACATTGATTTATTCTAATGTAAAATAATTTTCTAATCTAAAATTTCTTCGAAAAGTCTTTTTTTATATAGTTAAGAGCAATTGCTCGAACGTTTAATCCCAGACAAGTTCGATATTATCAACAAGATGGCAAATTTCGTGTTGCTGTATTTATATAAAAAAGATTAGATATTTGTTTTTCATTTCGAGTATTTCTAGGTCTTTAAACAACATATTAATCGTGTTAGAAGTGCATTAGTACATGTAGTTAATGTGGTGAAATTTATTGATTATTGTTTTCAATGGGAAAATCCATTGTTAAGCTTTTGCACTTTTATTGTAAGTAAATCGAAGAAGAAGAATATTTGAATTATTTTGTTATTTTAGATGTCATTACTTATTGTTTGGAATTTTGAATTGTATATGTTACCTTGTGCACTTTTATTAATATTCGCAAGAAATGCAGTTATAGAATATCGTCGAGGAATATTAGGAAAACCATTTGCAACATTAGGAGATGAAGTAAGATTATTTTAATTATGAATAAAAATATAGTTTGTTATTTTTTTCTCTTCTAGACAGTATCTTCAGTAATACAACCGTTAACTGTTGATGAAGATGCATTAGATACTGATATGAGCAGCAAAGTAAGTGAATAAATCAATTCATTGTCAACTATAATACCAATTGATTTATTCTAACAGGAACAAAAGAGATCTTTGATGAGTGTTATTCATGGGATTCAAGATACTGTTCTTGAAATTCAAGGTTACGTTGATGAAGTTGCTTCTACTTTAGAACGTATTAAAAAGTAAGAAAATCGAATTTATATCTTTATAAAAACTGTCTTTTCTAGTGTTTTTAATTTTACTGTACCTTGGCTATCTATAATGGCTATAATTGTTCTTACTATTGCTTCGATAGTACTCTATTATATTCCACTTCGATATTTAATTCTTGCATTCATTATAAATAAATTTACGAAAACATTTCGTAAACCCAAAGGTTATATTGATAATAATGAATTAGCTGATTTTATTTCGCGTTTACCTTCTGATCCTGAACTAGTTCGTATTTTTAACTTTTTTTTCAAAAACAAATTCTTTTATTTATCATTTTAGTTACAATATCGAGAAATGCCAGTTCTTTCTCGAATTCCAACAATTACAAAGAAGAATAAACGTCTCACAACAACATCTAACAAATAAGCAAAAAATGTCTAATTCATTTCTATATATATGTAAACATTCCATCAGCGATTTATATCGACAATGGCATGAACAATTTGTGATAAGATAATATAATCATTCTATAAATGAAAAAACATTTAAAAATCAGATATAAATATATATGTACATGTGTAATGTTATTATTTTGTTCTGTGTACGGTGAATTGTCTTTCGATTAAAAAAATGAACGATTAATTTCATTTTCATAATCAATCGATAGTTTTACAAACTGAAGAAACTGTTCTTTTTTTTTTATTAATAACTAGTGATATTTATGGAAATATAATGCTAACATACTTTTACCAAAATGAATTTATTATGGTGTATTAAAAATCAATGGGTTCATTTAGTATATTTATTGTCAAGAAGATATGAAATATGACGATGATAACAGTTTATTCGTTTAAAATGATTTGATTAGAAATTTATTTCTTGAAAATAGTAGTCTTATAAAAGTTTCGCTTGATTGAAAATCATTCATATAATAAGAATATAATTGACTATGACTAGCTCTGTCGAAATATATTAATCTGATTTTCTATTCATATAATTCGCTCTAATAAACATGAGTTCAAAAAGCATTCTGATTATTTCATGTTAGAGTTTACACTTATAAAATAATCTTTTATAACAGGTCATAACGGTCTGTTCATATATTTAATGTGATACTTATAGACAACTAGATACCATTCGAGTTTCACTCAATTGTGAAAAACTGATAACCTAAAAAAGCCAACCGTCGTCTCTAAGAACGAGCATGGAATAAGTCTCCATGGAAAAAACGTATTTTGCAATCTATTGAAACTTATACTCTGTCATCATACATCTATATGAAAAATTGTCAAAAAAATGCCTTGTTGAGGGTGTGCGTGTCTGTTCTATCATCACATATTCACACCCACACCCACACCCACACCCACACCCTTTATTACGTGTACCAGAAGAACAATGAAAATTATATGATCTTATTTTTATCAATAATAATCAATCATCACATATGATATATTTAATACAAATAAGAAAATCAGGATCTGTTATAAAAAAAACAAATTTAATATATCACTTAATTAACTTAAAAATAAATGTGTTATTTTATTCGATAATTATTAGACTTCTCCTATGAACATTTACATAAGATGTGTATAGCACAATTTATATTTATTAAAATTTTTTTAAGAGTCTTGTCAAACATTATAATACTATTTGAGATCACAAATTAATTTTAGTCTGCATTGTCAAGTACATTAAAGTCGAATATTTAGTCTATTTATTAGAGGAAACAAGATATTCAGTAAATTTTCATACGCCAGTAGAGAAACATAATAGATATAATACTTGGATTTATTTAAATGAATAACATGTATTATCTCTTTTGTATAATTATTCTCATTTAACATGATTAGAAATTGAGGAAATAATCTAGAAGAAAAAAACCTATATTTCAGTTAATATGAATGATTAAATCAATTATAGTTTTCTGTCAAACCGTATCATATTAAATCTACATCTGCACAACGTACGTTTTACACCATGATAAAATAGAATTTAATGACAGAACTTTCTAATTGATGCAAAGAAGAATTATATGAAAAAACATTCTTTGATAATCTACGCATGTGTTTAGCTTCCTTGCTGATATTTCATTTTCTTGTTTTTTTTTGATAAAATATTGTGATAAGCTATTAATTTTAGTTCATAAGTTTTTATTTCAACATTAATAGAATAACTATTTCTAACTCAATTCAGTTTATTTCACTTATATTTCTACAGGATTGTATCATTATCTCTACTGCAAATATACTTCCTCTTGTTCAACGAGTTATGACTCGTTATATTTTATCTACAATTGCTGTATTCGGAAATTTAGGTCATATAATATCAATTACAATATTATCACAAGAACAACGTGGATCAAATTCATGTTCAATTTATCTTCTTGCAACATCAATTTCTGGTTTGATTATCATGAATTGGGCTATAATTTTACTTGTTTATGTACTTGATCATATAGATCTTATGAATACATCATTAACATTATGTCATATTCGTGTTTATATGAAACATACTTCATCAATGTGTTTTCGATATGTAGTAGTTGTTGCATGTACTCATCAATGTGGTGTTTATGAATTATATGACTAAATTTATAGTATTTATAGTTTAATTTGTTTTGGATTAATACCTATTTGTTTAATAGTTATTTTTGATATTCTTCTTACAATTAAATTACAATAAACAAAATCACGTATTCAACCAATTCATAATAGTTTTCATATTAAAAGAGATGAATTTTGTTTAGGAAAAGTTATATTAACTGAAGTTATTGTTAGAATATATTTTGCACATTTACTCATCCATTAATCACATTATATTCGACTTGAACAAATAATATAATACCAAATAAAAGCTCTCAACGAATCAAAATTGAATCATTTATAAATTTTATTACAATATCATTACTTCTCTATTTTAATTATAATACAATATTTTATATTTATTTTATAGTATCAAAATCATTTCAACAGTCTATTAAATATTTTATACGAAGATATATTTTTATATTTAAATTTAACAGAAGAAATATTGAACATAATCAGAATTAATATAATCAACAAATTAATTGACCAAAAATAATTTACAATTCTCACATATATTCTTATCATATTTTGATAACGAGAAGAAACAATTACTAATGGATTTTTCTTAGTTTTTATTGTTTTATGTAAATCTTCGAATGAATCTTTATCAAGACGAATTGTAACTAAATTTTCATTATTCTCATCATATAATCGTCCAGAATCATATTCAACATGTTCACTAAATAAAGTACATTCTTGCTTTATTTGGTTATACCTAGTTGTTTGACATAATGATGATTCTTGATATAAATAAATAAATCGTAAACGGTTTCGACAATTATGCAAACCAAGATAAAAACGAATAGTTTTATCCACGTTTAAAAATTGTTCAGGTATAAATTTTGTTGAATCAATTTCCCAATAGCGTGGATCTTGATGCAAATTTTGAGTAGCAATTACAACTGCATCTCCTTTCCTTATAGGTATGTTATCACGTGCTGCTCCATGACTTATGTGTCCAGCGATATACGAGCATATCGAAGAATTTTTTGAGGGTGGGTGTGGATGTAGATGCAAGGATTGGAGAACGCACACTACATCCAGACTTCATCAATGAAGAAAAAAAGTTGACATGTTTTCATCTTGTATGCTTACAATTAATGATTTAGATGAATACTATTTAGTTTTGTCTAAAGTGTTATTCATAATAAACAATTTTTTCTTTATGTTTTTGTATTTTATTATTTTGCGTATTCTAATCTCACCTTTATTATCCTGTCAGCTGTGACATGCACATGATTGACGCACAGAATAATAAAATGTATAGGTGAATGCGAGATAGTTAAGAATAATACGTATTCAATTGCAACCATAAAAAATGACGCATTCACAAAGTATATATTTAATCGTATGTTGTTTGATTTGCTTGAATGAATCTACTAGATAGTGACTCACTAACATTCATAAATTCATAGTCTGTTTGAAAAAATGAATAGATTTGTCTCTTGTATGAAATAGAAATTACCGAATATTAAATTTATAAATTTGTATCATTTTATTAAATCGTTTATATGAGTAAAAAAGTATATGAGAAATAATCATGCTTTCAGCATTCACTGACTCATCAATGTAGTAGGTACCATTCTGTACTTCAATTTGTATGATTTATATTCTATAAAAATCTTCAATTTTGTGTTTCATGTATTTAAAAATTTTATAGTATTATCATCTCGTATTGCGTTCACTTGTCCTAATTGTTCCAGTTTTTTAAAATATTTTATATTGGTATTTCTTTTCTCTTTGTTCATTTTTATTACGCATTTGACTAAAAACTGAATTATGAAGCATCAGACAAATACTATTTTACAGTGAGAAAATGCATTCTTTATTTATTTATCGTGTAAATCAAAAAACAACTGTTATTGTTGAAACGTGACATCGGCCAAATCTGAAAAGAATCAATTTTTCTTCGAAAATAGTTACCAGTGAAATGGCTTGATATTAACAGGCACAAAACTCCAAAGACCACTTCACTTTGTGGATACATTCAAGTAGAATTGCATGAATAAAATAAGGCATGTAATAGTTAAATATAAGAGAAGCAGGGTAAATATCAACATCGTAAACTGCTTATATATTCATTTAACAATTTAATGTACATACAAGTACCTAGCTTTTTGTATTTTGTTTTAAGAAATAAAAAGAAATGAGTAAGCGACGACTTGACCTTACCTTTACCTCGCTCAGGTACTTCATCGATAAAATTATATTGATGCTTAAACCTGTCCGTCACATACTGTAACGACAGTAGAAACCCAAAAACTACCCCTTAGACTAAAATCACTTCCTTTCTGATTCATTCTTCTTATATAAATCTGAATATTCATTTGATTGATCGTTATCGATTAGTAAAAAATTATTAACGAAAAAAATATGATTTATTTTCTTCACTTAAATGTGATTTTCTTAGTCAACATGATGACATTAACACAAGTATGTTGGAAATAAATTGCATTACTAATAGATAATTTTAGAGGAAGTACTTCGCAAATAAAAAAATATCGATAATTAAACGAGGGGAAAAAAAACAGCCCTTCAATTATGTACGTGTATATAAACGGGAGTTTCATTCATATTTTGTTACTCAGTATTCGTGATCGTTAGTTTGTGGGGCATCATCATGAATAAGTTTCTACTAGTATCTGTGTTACCAATATTACTAGCCATTTTAACTGTGAAGTTATGTGCATCCATGGCGACTGTCGGTGGTGCAAGTGCATATGCTTCCAACAATAATGGAATAAAACGGTATGTCTTGAGAAGCATTTGTATTGATTATAATCTTTTCTTCTATTCTTTTTTTCAGCATTACAATGCATAAAGTCAACCGTACATGTAATGGAAATACTACTCAATACAAATGTCACGGAAAAGGAAAACATACGGGAATAACAAAAAGATCCGTATCAGCGACTGAAACATTACTTGATCAGAATTGGGGTGTAAGTATTTTAATTTGTCTTATCTACATTCTATATGTTTCCATTTAATAGTCATATTGGATGGGTTTAATAACAGTCGGAACGCCGGGTCAATCATTTTATACTGATTTTGATACGGGATCATCTGATCTATGGGTTCCAGGCGAACTATGTGGCACTGCATGTGGTAAAAGGAATAATATTCTCTTAATTATTTAATGTTAACTTCTCTTTTCTAATATCAGGTGGTAATCATACATATAAACCTAGTTTATCATCAACATACAAAGCATGGAATAAGACTTTTCAGATTCTTTATGGTGATGGTACTCACACCACGGGAGTATTTGCAAATGATACAGTGAATGTATGTAAAAGTTATCTACATAAATAAGAAGAGAATAACGTTTTGTTTGATTTAGATTGCCGGAGTATCTATTACTGGTCAACCGTTTGCTATTATTAATTCAGCTTCAGGTATGAGTTCGCGAATCAATGACGGTATACTAGGTATGGGTTATCAAAAACTTGCACAAGGCGGTGAAGTGCCAATAATTTGGTCGATGTATCTGACGGGCGCATTGAGTCTCCCAATTTTTTGTTTTTGGTTCGGACCGTAAGTGTATATTTTTGTTGACTAGTAAAAAATTCTTCTTCAAAATAAATTTAATAGAGTATCGACTGGTTCGGATACAGGTGAATTGATTTTAGGTGGTTATGACGCAACAAAATATACGGGCTCTTTTACATATGCACCAGTTAGTGTAAAAGGTTTTTGGGAATTCGTTGCTGACAGTGTTAGTCTGACAGTTGGATCAACAACAACAATAGTAGCCACATCAATTAATGCTATTTTGGATACGGGAACGACAGTTGCCATGGCAGTTCCAACAACTTATTACAATATGATAAATACATTAATAGGAGCTACATTCAATCCAAACATCGGATATGTAAGAAAAATTTATATTTGTTCCACCTATTTACACGAATTTTATAATAAAATTTTCACTATTTTATTCTAGGCCACCTTCAACTGTCAAACAAAAACCTTATCAGCTTTACCAAATATAACAGTTACAATTAGCGGAGTTCCATTTGTATTAACACCATTAATGTACATTCTTGTTACTGGTGGTCCTTCTACATATACCTGCTATAGTATGATTACGCCACTGGACGCGACTGATGCGCTTTCAAATTCAATATGGATCTTTGGAGATTATTTTATGAGACGTTTCTACAGTGTATTTGATATGCAAAATAATCGAATCGGATTAGCTTTATCAACTTCCTATTCAATTGTGCAACAGGTGCCTAGTAACGTATTTCAGACAACTACAACCGTAACTCCTTCGTCAGTAACATCAACGACAACAAAACCATCCACAACAACAACTACAACAACCACATCAACATCAACAACTACATCAACGACAAC